CAGAAAGCAGACCAGCTGATGAAGTTTTCCATTACAAAAATGAAGATACGCCATGCACAAAGAATCTAGCTTCCTTTTAGAGCAGCAGCAAGCTAAAGAGGCTGGATAAAAATTCCTTTTTGCTTATCTGTATTGTGGACTTCTTAGCAGCTCCATCCTAAGTGCTGTCACCCACTCCTAATGGCCACAAGTGCTGGTGCAGATGGCTCTGGACCAGATGTAGAAACCATTTGAAAATAAGTCATCTTTCAGAATGAAGTCTCTTTGCATCATCTCCTTGAATCAGCTCAGCCTGTTGCATCTTTTAATTTCAGGGAACAGAGTAAGGTGGGGTCTGTACCCCTGTGAGGGAATGTTTTGAAAGTCAAAAAGCAGACAGAGAAGCCACAGACTGTGCCTGTCTCTGCTTGGGTGAGCAGAGCCTGCTGTCACCAGCATTTCTGACCTGAATGTAAATTCAAGATTCAGTTCCTGTGAACATTCTCTACGTGAGCTTATTATTCACTGTTCATTTGCCTGACTCCTGCCAACAGTCACATTCTCTGGTGTGTTTAGCTGGAGAGACTAAGCATTGGGTGTAAATCCTGCTGATGTGAATTCACTAAGGGGTTCAAGTGACTGTTTCTGTTCGTTTGTGGCATTCCCTGAGTTCTGTTTATTGCCATGCAGTCAGTTCTCAGCCATTGTTCCCCAGAGGTACACACCAAGGCTAAAAACATTGTCATTTGTGATGCAAAGAAAGAATAGGAGCAGGTTCCTATCACAAGTCAAAGCCCTCATTGCTCATCTGGAGACTGACAGGTTTTTAAGTCTTTGCTTTCCCAGCTCCTCTTTTTATCTGAGCTGGAAGACCTTTGTTCATTCTGCACACATGCCATGAAAACTCTTGCTCCTTTCCCCCCTTTTTAACATTGTCTGCTCAGAAGTCTCATGCTGTCCTTCAGTTTGTGTTTTTCCTCCCTCAAAGTAAACCAGTAAGGGAAGTGGGGTTTTTCCAATGCCTCTGTGTCAATATCAGACAAACTGTTTGCTCCCAGTTGTACCTGGCAGCAAACAGTTTGATTTACATGCCCATGGTCACTGTAAGCAAGACCATAAGCTTGTAAAATGGGGACCCAGGTGGCTTTTAAAGTAACCAGCACCATTACCTTATTACTTTTATTTCTTATACACTTAGTTTTGGACTTGGAAGCCTGTTCTCTTCTCTTGTTTTCCATACAAGAAACCAAATGTTCTCATCCCTCTGCCCTGACACTGTGAGTAGAGAAGCTGTGTTTTTGTTTCATGGTTGAGTTGTTTGGCAAGTTCCCTAGTGCTGTAATGAATTAGAGTCATTGCAAGGTTGTTTCTCTTTGGTATTTCTGGACCTTGAGAGAGTGAAGCCACCTGGTTTAGATGCTTTCTTAGCCTGTGTCTCAGCTGACACTCTTCTCTCCAGTCCAGGAACAGACAGTTCTGCCATTGCCTGAACTGTCTGTCTCTCACTTCTGACAGCAGCAGCATTCTGGGTCAGTTCTCCTGGGATACCACATTTCCACAGCACTGATTTCCTGCTGGTCACTGGGAGTTCTTTAACCAGAACAGTACTGGAGACTTTTTTTTTTTTTTTTTTAAATCTGGTCACGTCCATTGAAGTTGTCCCAGATCAAAAGATTGTCTAGCAAGAGAGGAGTTTGATGCTGATCATCTTGGGGAATTGAATTGGTGTGGGGATGGGATTGACTGCAGGGGAATTCTGATGAGAATGTGGTACCACTGGAAAATGCCAGCCCAGTCAGTAAAATATGGGATGGCAAATGTTTGACTTTATGAAGACACTTCCCCACTCAGACCAAGTGGTTTTCATTCTGGAGCTGCTCCTCTGCACAATGATTAATGTGTTGTCATTATCTGCAACTTTTAAAAATGAATGAAAAGACATTCAGGCTGACACCAAGCTGTCAAAAGCCAACTGTGAGTAGGTCTGGGGCCTGTTCTGGTTGTATTGCTGCTTTCCCTGTGCACGTGTCATCATTCACAGCACACAGCAAAGACACAGATCCCTAAACTGTTCTTTCCAGCTTACATGCTGAGGTGGGATCAAGTGGTTCTACCCTTCCAGAAGGACAGACATGCCATGGATAAGTCAAGAAAATTAGATCAGAGCCTGACTGCATTCTTGATAGTTATTCTGAAATAAACCCGTTCATGCTTTTGCTATTTAATCTGCAACTAGAAAGAGAATTTGAAGAATAAGTATCTGTAATCATGCTTTTAATTGTAGATAGTGCATTCTGTGTTACAGCACGGGGTTAGGAAGTGCATTCTGTGTTACAGCACGGGGTTAGGAAGTGTGGCTCTTTTCAGGGAATTCCTCTGTTGAACAGGCTCAGGATGAGCAAGGAGCAGCAAAGTGAATGCCCCTCCAAGGGCAGCAGCAGCTGTGGCCATCTGCCGGGTAACTGGGCTGCAGTGGTGGGCTGATTATGAAGCAGCTTCAGTGAGCTGCAGGGGCTTCATTTCCACAGAATTCATTCCCAGGAGGTTCCTCTGGATCTCAGGGGCTGTGGTGTTGCTCCAAAGCAAAGAGCATTGTCAAGAGGCTCAGCAGGATCCGCTGCTGCCTGGAGAGAGGGGGTGTGGGGCAGAGGACCTGCGTTGGTCCCCACATCAGAACCTGCCCAGCACCCAGGAGAGTGTGCAAATGTGGTGGTTTGACCAAGAAGGAGTAGGACCAATGCTCAAACCATGACAGCAGAATTGGCTGTAGCTCCTGTGAGCAGACAGGGCAAACCCAGGGGCTCCTTGTCTGCCAGCACAGGAACCTGATCCTTGAAACCTCTTACAGCTCTGGAGTTTGATTCCACTCTTGATGTAACCAGAGTTTGAGTTGGGTGCCCATCTGTGCTTGGATCTCTGCGCACCTGGCCCTCCTGCCCCACTGAATTCTTTTGCTCATCAGAGCACACTTTGTGGCTTTACCCAGCTGACTTTGGGTACCTTTCAGATTTTTCACAGCATTAAGATCCATTCCATTGTGGGAAAAGACCTGTGGATGTATTCTGTACCACCAGGAAGTTCAGACTTCAGAGTTTTCCCATTTGCAAGCAGCATCCACGTGCCACCTTTGCATACACAGGCTGTTTCAAACCTTTCCTGTGTTTTTTTTAAAGATGTCAGTGCAAGGGCAAAGCAGGGGTCTGGAGGAGACTCCACAGTTTGCTGGAGCCAGAGGTGCAGCCCTTGTGCTGACAGCAAGCACACCTGTGAGTCAGGGGAGCTGTCTCTGCTGCAGCAGGCACAGCACACCAACACCTCCCTGCCAAACCCAGCACAGGGGAGTGGGAGTGCTGTTTAATACCATCCAAAGAGTGGCAATGAAAACCTGCCTTCTGCCCTGTGCTCAGTAAACTCAACAAAGCCTGAGCAACTGTGCTTTTGGGAGAGAAAAGTGAATCGATAACTCGATGAGGGCTGCCAAGTAATGCTGTTGTCTGCAGTGTCTTTAATGGCTTTGGTCAATAAACTGCAATTATTTTACAAATATGTGTTGTGTTCTCTTCTAAATCTATCTCTCAGCTTCCTATAATGAATTTTTTAAAATGAGAAATATCCTAAGTGCTCACATTGTATAAAATCTGTGCTTAAAATCAATGGATGTACAACAAAAAGCCTGGGCTTGCTTATCCAAAGTACATACATACAAAGTGCCATGTCTTTCAGAGTACATTTTCTCCTTTTTTTTTTTTTAAAGGAAGGTGCTTAATATATAATAATTTATAAATTTTCAGAGACACTTCAGAAATATAAATTCTTTCAGTCTGTTTTCTTTAGGTGTTGGAATTTGTCTATGTATCTCAATATATTTTGCTTCACAAAATTTATACGAAGAAAGTAATCTCCAAACACCTCTACTATATGAATTTCTCTGTCTAAATAATTTTTATTTCTGCTGTGCTGCAAATCTATACCACTCTTCATTTTAGAGTCATAACAATATAAAGATTCTTTTTACTTTACCTAGCATTTAGTTGCTTAAGGGGAATTTATTTTTCCCTTTAAATAGTAAAAAGAAGCAATGGGGAGGTAGAAGACAGAGTTTATTAAAAATAGAAACTAAGCTCAGCATAGGAGGTGGGGTTTTGCTGTCTAGTCTTCAAAGCATATCAAGATGGTAGCTTTCAAATATTTAAAGGTGTGCTACTTACTCAGTATGCAGGTGTCTGTAAAAAAGCCAAACAGCAAGAATGAACTTATCCTTAGGTAGCAGTGTTCACCCTCAGTCCTGCCAGAGGATCAGCAAGAGCAAAGAAAAGCAAAAGATTATTGACAACAATAATTGACACTTGTTATTTGATAAAAAGAACATTTTCAAAGATGGAGAAAGGTGCTAGGGGTTGTTTCAAGCTTCCTGGGCATCCAGCTCCTCTGTAGATTGGAGTATTTCTCCTGTTTTATTTACCATTAGTTAAGTAAATAGTGAACACAAGCCTCGGACCTTAATGAAAGAAAATATTCTGACAACAGTCATTGAAATATTTTTGCTTTTATTCTGCATAATTTTTTTTTATTTCCTAAAGCATATTTCAGTGGGGGTAAGAACTTCTTGAATATTCTTGGCATTTAATCTTTGAAGAGCCACTAAAATCTGGTCTCATTTGCCCAAATGGGCTAATCAGATTAGAGTGGGAGGGGGAAGAAAATAGAGAGCCACTGCAATAGGCAGCAGCATTGAAATTCAATTGGAAAAGGAGGAGTGTTGGCCCCTGGGGCACCCAGCATCCCCCAGCCAGCTCCTTCTAGTAGGAATTGGCATCTCTGTGTCCTCCCTGGGCTCTGGCATTTGGGTTAACTCACTGAGGTGCTGAGAGCCATGCAGGGACTCAGGGCTTCACCTGAAAGGAAGAGGATGTTGTCACTTCTAAACAAAATGTAAACCTGTCTCCATCACCTGCAGCACACTCACCTTTCTGCTTTAATAGCCTGGTAATGCCACTCTAAATTAACAGTGGTCCTTCCAGGTAACCTCTGTGTCTCACACACTGCTCAGACTGCTGCAGAAACAGGAAATGTAAAGATCTGCTGAGGTAAATAAGAATGAAATTGAGATTAGCTACTGTGTATTTTCTATCCATTGTATGTTTTTACATAATACAGAAAAGTCACTTGATACCGCTTGATGCATCAGGTTTTATTCTGTTTGCAAAAGCAGTTTCAAAAATGCTGTGCGGGATATTTTTAGCATGGACTTTTGGTTTCTTTGCTGGGGAAGGGAAGAAAAGGATCTACCTACTTTACACCTCATAGGGTATGAAATTTGAGAAATGATGATGGAGTTCAGAGTATGCCTGCCTCTCATGTGCTCACTCGGGCTTTTCCCTACTCAGTTTCTCTCCCAACATCTGCAATAGTGCTGTCAGTTCTGTAGCTCTGTATTACTACAGAAACCCTTTCCCAAAGCTCAGAGTTCAGGGGCAGGAGGGGTGGGAGCACCTCCAGGCACCATTTCACTTGGCAGTGGCATGGGAATATTGTATTTGCAGGGAAGCCCCAAGGAAGGCAGGAATGATGCATCTGACTCAGAAGGGTAATTTATTACTTTATAATACTATACTATATTAAACAATTATATACTAAAGAATACAGAAAGGATACTTACTAAATGCTCAAGAGATAATAATGAAAACTTGTGACTCTTTCGAGAGTCTCAACACAGCTTGTTCCCCAGTTGGCCAAAGAGTCAAAACAATTCACAGCAGAATCCAATGAAACAATCACCTGTGGGCAAACAATCTCCAAACACATTCCACATGAGCACTACACAGGAGAAGCAAATCAGGTAAGAACTGTTTTCCTTTTCTCTGAGGTTTCTCAGCTTCTCAGGAGAAAAATCCCGGGCAAAGGGATTTTTTCAGAGAATGGGAATGTATTTCTGGGCCGGCACTTGTGGAATTAGGAAACACAGGGTGTACAGAAAGGCATTTGCAGTTCTTCTCTTGGAGAATACTAGCATGTGAAACCTGAAAATGCAGCATCAAGTTGCATCTTGAGATAGGTAAAGGTGGGACATTGACTGTCCAGAGGCACAAGGACAAAAAGGAGCCCAGATCAAATCATGCCCATTTCCAGAGTGCATTGTGTTTATGAATCAGTAGGATACAGGCACTGCTATTTTAAAACAACAGCACAGAGGGTCTTTTCCTTATACCCTGTTAATCATGTGTTCAAGCTTTGTATTGGCCACCTGAGAGACAGAATTAAAGAAGCTCTTTTAAATGGAAAGCAATTTTCATCACGTTTAGCACTTGTTTAATAGCTTCTTCATGGGTTTCCTCTGAGATAATTAAAAGTATGGTTCCATAGGTCCCAGAGGTGCATTAGGACTGTGCTCCAAGAAAAGGAAGTGTTGGATATTGCTGTTCTCTTTGTGGTCAGTGGGAATTTTGTTAAAGCTGGAACAAATCAAGCCTGTTGAATTTTTGCTGCAGTTTTTAAAAAAGTTGGTAAGATTTTGTAGTTGCTTCAGGGTGTTCAAAGGGTTCAGTGACTGCAGTAGTGGATTGCAAGCTTTGGAAGGCAGCAAATTGATTCACAGGAGAGGGTGGGAGAGCTCTGGGCCCAGTGATTGCACTTCCTAGAGCCCAGGCTGTACTTCAGTATAAAGGAATTTTCATTATTTATTTATTCTTGTACACCTATTCTCTCTGAAATACAGTGTGATAGTATTCTTGCCTTTCCAATACCTGGATAGAGAGGCAATGATGCTTTCACAGGTGCCAGCACTGACAGTGAATGGAGAAGGCTTAAAAATGGCAAGAAGAGGCACATCAGAATAGGCTGAACCCTTTTGAAAACAACAATCCTATTTGACTACTTCAAAACCAGAGGAAACTTTCTCAAGGTTTTCTGGCAAGATCTGCAAATGCCCTCAGCATTCACTGGGTACCAATAAAGGACTGAAGGGGAACTTATGGCTCCCCGCTTTGAGCCTGACTTTGTTGTGGCCTTGGCAGAGACCAGAACAGCTGGAGTGCAATCCATTAGGTACAGGCCACCAGCTGGGACCTGCGGCATTCACATTCCCTGAAAAATCCCTTCTTCCCGGATTTTTCTCATAGGAAGTTGAGAAGCCTCAAAGAAAAGGAAAACAATTCTTATCTCATTTGCTTCTCCTGTGTTTTGCTTGTCTAAAATGTGTTTGGAGATTGTTTACCCACAGGTGATTGTTTCATTGGATTCTGCTGTGAGTTGTTTTGGCTCATTGGTCAATCAGGGCCAAGCTGTGTTGAGACTCTGGAGAGAGTCATGAGTTTTCATTATCTTTTTAATATTAAGTAAATATATTTTCTGTATTCTTTAGTATAGTACAGTATTCTTTAATATAATATAGTATAATAAGGTAATAAATTAGCCTTCTGAGAACATGGAGTCAGATTCATCATTCCTGCCTTCATTGGGACATTTCCCTGCAAACACAATAAGGACCTGCTGTGTCCATGCCTGATTGTGCTCAATGGCTCAATGTACAATCTCTTTCATAAAGTGAGACATCTTTTCACATGGAAAGGAATAATGCTGTTTCTTATTTACCAGTAAGTGTTTTATGTGTGTATATACCCACAGGAGTGTTATCTGAGATGCCCTTTTGTGTGTGACACCAGTCAGTCTGTCTGGTCCTTCTTTATTCCCCTCAGTAACTTCCCTGGAATTATGGTGCCTGCTCCTCCTGATGATCCTGGAGCACAAAAAAAAGGAGCCAATGGAAATGCTATGGCTTTTTCATCATAACAGAAACATGGAGAGGGAAACCAAAAAATCAATGTTGTCAAGTGAGCAGAATTGACAGGGAGAGCAGAGTTAGCATCAGGCTGCTTGGAGAAGTTTCCAGCAATAGGACGGTGCTTGTATCCCAAGAACAGCCTCAATAAGGTGACTTAAAAACTTGCTAATGAGTCTGGCAGCCTGTAAGGCACAGGCAGTGTGTTGAATTCACATTTGTGTCAGTCTCATCATGCTTTACAGGCCCTGGGAGGCTTTTTGAAGGGAAGCTAATGTTTTGGCTCTGTGCACTATTTGCAGCTGAGGAATAATCAGAATAGAGAAGTATGACTTGCCTTAGTGTCTGTGCCTTGCAAAGACTGCAAGCCCTAATCTTCTTAGTAATGTGTTTATATGCTATTTTTGTGCTGTGCAAAGGGCACATTTTCCAGGAGCAGTCCTTTTGAACAGAGCAGGAAGGCAATAACTCCCCCTTGGCTTGTGAGCAGAGGCCTGCAAGGAGGGGAGAGGGGTGGGCTACCAAGAGTAGCACTCCAGTGCAAGCTTTGTGATGCTGCTGTCACAAATTCCTGCTGGGAATTCTTTGGTGTAATTACAAGAGTTTTGTCATAGAAAAATAGGCCATATGCTGCCTCGTTGTCTGCCTGCATGAATAAAAAAAATGACAGCATTAACAGCAAGAAAAAGGTGGAAATGTAATATTCTAGAAAACATGGCTGTTTTATTCAGAGGACAGAAGGTGAGTGAAATTAAACAAAAGCTTTCTGCCTCACCAGTTTTCTTCTTTTAAGTAAAAATTTATAGACTGCTGACAATTGTTATGCAAAACCAGAATCAATAACTTATACTAGGGCTGAAATTTCTAAAGACTGCCAGCTTGATTCATTTTTAAGTAATGTATCTGAACTGCTTGTGCTGATTCAAGGTCAAAATTTGCAGATTGTATGCAGCATATGGTGAGAACCTTTGAATTGTTCCCAAAGTTTAATGTTTTGTCCAAGCACACTGATAGGACACAATTCACTACTAGTGTTACATTATTTTTTTAATTTCCATCTGCTCATTTAGGTGACAAGTGTAGCATCAAAGTGGCTGCTGAGGCAAACTTTGTAGCATAATGGTGTTTAAGTCCATAAATCTGTGTTCAAGAAGACTGTGAGCTTAAATACTTTTTTTTTCAAGGATTCTTCATGAGTGGTGAATGGTCAGTTGAAAGGAAAGAAATGTTCTCCCAGAAAGATGACCCTGGGAAGGTCTTTTCTTTGGACTTGTGCATTCATAGCTTAAAATCCAAACATTGATATTGTGCTTTTGCACCACTTTCTGGATGGCATCTCTTTTCTAGCTGAGTAGACCCTTGTAGATGTTGCTGCAATGGGCAGCCTGAAATGTGAGAGAAACATGCAAAATAGCTGTGCTTCAGATTTATCCTGCCCTGCTGTCAGGTTTGAGCCTTACAATGAGGACATCTTGTTCCAGGGTAGGAACAGCTGGCCATTTAGCTCCATAAAAAGTGTTATTGGGAAATATTAATTTGGTGTTGCATATCATAATATCAAGGCCAATTCTGACTGCAGACACCTTTGATATATCTTCAAATGTAATTAAATAAGACAAAAAGCAGAAATTGCTCTTCTTGTCAGACTGAGAATTAATTTGAAAGGTGTTAGGTCAAGCCAGATCCAAAATTTCAATAGCTCCTGTTGCCCAAAAATGGACAGAGTGCTACATCTGCAGATCAAAGCACTGGGCTTATTTTGAGTTAACATGAGAAGTAAATTTCAAATTCACACTTTGGATATGGGAATTTTTCTCTGGGCTCTTGATGTCTGCCCATGTTGGGAGGGCATGGGTTTTTCTGCCCCCAGGAGCAGAAACTTTGGTTTGTGCACAGAAATGAGAGTCAGCTGAAGGATTTAGCCAAAGAAATCTGCACAGGCTGCTGATTGCATAGGAGAGAGGCTGCTTGCCCCACAGTATATTGGACTTCCATTCTCTCGCCAGCTTTATTTTGATTGTGTTTGGCACAATGGCAGCACTTAGGAGGGAAAATCCCATTTTCCTAAATCCCATTACAGAACTGTGTTTGAATTTCTGCCACAGTGATACACCCAAATTCCTACAAAATGAGCAAGAAGGGGAACTCCTGTGTCAGCCTGCCTTGCTGGAGGGCACTGGTCATCATTCCTGCACAGTCCTCAGCCTGCTTATTGCAGTCCTGGTGAGTTTCTATGGCTTTTCTCTGGATCTGTCCATGCCCACTTGCCTCTTCTGAGCTCACAAGAGTTTTGCTACTTTCCAGCAGCTA